ATGCTAATCCCAGTCTTGCTCTCCAGCGGCTGCCCCCAAGCGAGGACAAAGGACATTTGGCCCTAGCCTGGAAACCTTCTATTTCCTGGGGCCGTCTTCCCCCGCCAGGTTGCCCTCTCCCACAGCCCCGCAGGCAGCCGGCTCAGCTGGTGTGCAGCCCGGCTCCCCTCCCTCCTCACCTGCCCTTGCCACTCGGCGACATTCACCAGGACGATGCTCTCCGGAAGCTGCTCGTCTGAGATCAGGATCTGGTTCAGCTGATCATAGACGGATTTCCGGGGGACCTAAGACAGCACAACCAGGCAGGATCAAACGCTGCAGGGATCCCCTGGTCTCCCACAGGCCAGCCACTGTCCCGCTCCAACGCCTCTCCACCCACATGGGCCAGGGTCCTGCAGGCAGGAAACTGGGCCACCCACTGCCTCTGCTGCAAGCAGATGGGGCCCAGCCCCACCGTGCCCCCCACCCTGCGAGAGGCAGGAATGCCACCCACGCACACTGCTGCACCTGACCTGGGCGCTGTGCCGTGAGTCCGGCGAGCTCTCGCTGTCCAGGCTGCTGGCGCGGTCGCTCTGCCCCCTCGAGTTCTGCCGGTCCTTCATGGAGGTGCTGCGGGGCCGCCACACCTGTCTGCTCTCAGCTTTGCTGCAGGGGGAGAATCTCAGGGAGTTAGAGCTCACGCTGCAGCAGCCTTGGCCCCAGAGCTGGGACTGCAGAGGCTGGGGCAGCCAGAACTGTCCCCACACCACCACAACAGCTACACCAGAGATGGCTGCACCTGGGGCCGGGCTGAGCCCCCATCCTTCCCCCTCCGGGGCTGGGCCAGGCCCCCGTCATCCCCACCCCCAGGGCCGGGCCAGTGCACCCGTGACCGGGCAGGGCCCCCGTCCTCCCCCTCCTTCCCCCTGGGGCCGGGCCAGCTGCACCCGTGACCGGGCAGGGCCCCCGTCCTCCCCCTCCTTCCCCCTGGGGCCGGGCCAGCTGCACCCGTGACCGGGCAGGGCCCCCATCATCCCATTGTGACTGGTCCATCAGCACTTTCCTAGCCAGAGAACAGTGTGGTGGGCCCCACCGTGCAGGCCGGGACTGCGGCCTGGAGCTGCCTTACCTGGGCGACACAGCGTTTGGGGACTCGGGCTTGCCGGCGCTGGCCAGCTGGGCCAGCCTGTCAACACTGCTCTCCCGCCCGGCTGCCTCTGCCGCCCCAGGGCGTGGGGAGGGCTCCTCCGCCTCCAGCACCTGAGGGGACACAGAGTCACTGGACACAGGAGACACACCAGGGGCCCGGGACCCCTTCCCAGGGGATGATGGGCCCACAGCCAGTCTCCTTGAGGCAGACCTCCTCCCTGCCCCGCCTCCACTCTGCCCTCCCACCATCTAGTGACAGCACATCTCTGACCCCATCGCCGTGAGACCTGAGCACTCGTCACCGTGTGGCCCCTCACAGGGCCGGGCTGTCGGCCCTACTACATGGGGGCCCAGAGGCTCTGTGAGGGGTCCACTGGGAGCCTGTGGACCATCCTTCCTCTGGACCATCCTTCCTCAGCTCCCTGCCCCCGTCTGCCCCTGCCCCCCGGCTGGCAGCATTCCCCCCGCCCCCCACCTGAGGGGACAGTTCGTTCCCTGGACACTGAGGCGCTGGACACACCCCAAAAGCCTCAGCCAGCCACACAACCCGAGCTCAGCCGTGGCCGCCCGCCAGCCTGACAGCACACAGACACTCACCGCGGTTACCACCTCCACGCCCACCTCCTCCAGGGCCCGCGGAGCTCCAGCCTTTCGCTTCTCTGCTTGTCCCTGAGGAGGGGAACCAGAGTCTAGACCAGAGCGTCCCAGAGCGTCCCAGGGCAGCCCCACGCGTGGCCCCCAGCACAGGGCAGCCGGATGTGGGGCTGGCTGCCTCCGGAGACACACGTGCGTGGGGCAGCCTGCACCCCAGAGCTCCCGCCAATCCTCTGTCCCCCTGACAGTGCCCCCCCGAGAGCGCTCCTACTCCGTCCGGCTATGCTGGGAAAGGACGTCCGCGCGCCCAGGAAAGAGAGAAAAGGAGAAGGAAATGCAGCGCAGAGTGAGCCCCGCAGGTGACAGACACCTCCCCGGGAGGCCTGGCTCCCAGTGGGACATCCCAGGCCACAGGCTGCTGGCCTGGTGGCCAGGGGAGGACGAGGAGGCAGGGGCGTGACTCACAGGGCTGCCGGACTCCTGTTCCTGCCCTTTCTGGCCGTGCAGACTGCCGATCTCAGTCTGGGAACCCGAGTGAGAGACGCCCTCAAAGAAACGCCTGCAGGAGAGACAGACAGACGCACAAGGAGACAGACAGAGGACGAGATGAGAGACACGAGGACACCAGGACCCCTACTCAGCCCGCCTCAGCCTCTCCCAGCACGCAGCGCTACAGACAGGCCCCCACTCGCTCCAGCACCGGCCTGGCCCGGCGTCCCCGGGGGAGAGGGTGAAGCTTGTCCCCTCGGCACGCTGAACCAGAGAGCGCCGGGAGCTGAGCCGCAAAGGGACAACACTGAGGGCCCAGGGATCCTGCCCTCAGACTCACACTGGGCCGGGGTGGAGGGGAGATTTGGACTGAGTTGGGGACCTGTGGTTCCTGGAAGCGGCATGCAGGGCTGGGAACCAAGGAAGGGCCAGTTCCCTGCTGGGAGGGCTGGGGCAGGTTTACTCCCGCCCTCCCGTACCGGGACTGTCTGAGGGAGCCTGATGCGTGCTCACACCTCAGACTGGTGCCACGTCTCCCGGGCCCCGCGGTGCCTAGGGGCTGGCTGGGCTCCTGGCTGGCACAGAACGCGGATCCCCAGGCCGGGCGGGGATCGCTAACGGGAGGAGCCGGCACAGAACGCGGATGCCCGGGCCGGGCGGGGATCGCTAACGGGAGGAGCCGGCACAGAACGCGGATGCCTGGGCCGGGCGGGGATCGCTAACGCCCGGGCTGCTCCCAGGAGGTGGTGCGGCCACGCAGCTCCAAGAGGGGGAGAGTTGGTGTGAAGGGAACACGCCATGGGGCTGCACTGCCTGCAATACACCGGCGCTCTCCAGGTGGGCGGGCAGCCCAGGGGCAGGGGGCTGCTACAGCGAAGCAGGGGGACGGCCCCTGGCCGTCATACACAGCAGTGCTGTCAGGCGCCTCAGGGACCTGTCGCTGGATGACGCAGAGCCTTTGGGTCTGACTCCTTCCCATAGCTGGGGCTCTCGGGGGCTGCCAGGGCTACGTCCCACGCACGGGAGTGCCGGAGTACCTCTCTGTTCCCAGACAGCGCCGTGTTTAATGTGAGCCGAGGTCACCCCACCCCCACCAGAAAGCTGGGAACACACAGCTGAGATCAACACCCCCCGTGGTCGGCGACCTACCCCAATGCAGTCAGACACATGGGCTGGAAGGGACCCGGAGAGTCGCCGAGTCCAGCCCCCTGCGCTGAAGCAGGGCCAAGTAACCCCAGACCATCCCTGGCCTTAGAGACCGCCAGTGACGGGGACTGCACTGCCTCCCTGGGCAGCCTGGCCCAGAGCGTAACGACCTGAGAGTCAGGGACTCGTCGACCCCGCAGCCACTCTGCCGATGGGCATTCCAGACTGCTGGCTGCCAGCTGTTGATGATGATGAGACAAGCCCCAGGCAGATCCCTCGCAAACCTCAGCTCGAGAGACTAGACTAGCTGACTGGGGGTACAGAGCACCGGCTGCCCGAACCCCACGAGATCACGAGGCTCTTCTTGCAGCGCCCCCCCAGCTGCTCGGTTTGGCTAGAGAAGATCTTCCCAGTGAACACGCGACAGGAAGGAATGGCCAGGAACCACAGGCAGCCCAGCTCCGGAGGCTCCCAGCACCGTCTGCTGTGGCTTTGGTAGGGAATGGAGCAACCAGCTGACCAAGACGTAGCTGGCTGGTGGAGGCCCGAGCTCCAGGCAAAGGGAGCTGATATCTGGAGTCCCAGATCTGGAGGGAAATGGGGGCTTGATGGAGATCCAGAAATCCCAGCACAGCTGCACAGACGTGGTGTGCAGCCAAAGGGCTGAGAAGCAGCCCAGGGCACAGGACTAGGGGGCCAAGAACGACAACACCTACTGGCCCGTGGCTATCAAAGAGGCAGAATGTGACCCAAGACATCTAGGACATTGTTTCCACATGGCAGAGCAGCACTGCTGAGCCTATGAGCAAAATGTCCCCAGCTTCATCCAAGAGCTTAATAGCGGAGCGGCTGAATCGCAAGAGAAAAAGAGGCGCTGTATTACAGCTAGTGACGAGAGCAGCGATCTCTTCAAAAGCCTGTCGGACGAGCCTGCGAATTGCAGACCCCGGAGCCGGAGTTCAATCCCAGGGAAAACCCAGCGGCACTCAGCGTACTAGGAACAAAGCCATACGGCTGCTGCTAAGGGAAATGGCCCCTCCCCAACCGACGACAGCGCTCTGAGCAGGTCGACCACGCAGCGGGGAAAGGAGACTAGACGGGGGCAGTGCTTGGCCTTCGGCAGAGTCCCCCACAAGAGGGGATTCAGGAAATCAGAGTCATGAGGTGGGAGGCAAAGGCACCTGGCACCCCCCAGAGAGAGCCTTGGGTGGGTGTCACCGTGGGCAGCTCGCCGGAGACTCCTCGGCAGGGGCTGCGGCAGCCAGAGGGGCAAAGGCGCGAGCCGAAAACCAACGCTGAAAACACCTGGCTCCCAGGGCAGACTCCGGGGGCTCTGGCTATTTGGCTTGGTGAAGGGGGGACTTGGTGACAGTCTGAGTCCTGACATGGGGAGCAGGGCTCTGGTCTAGCACCATCCAGTGGTTGAAGCTGGAGCTGGACAGGCAGACTGGAAGTAAGGCATCTAGCAGAGAGAGGAACGAAGCCTTGGAACAATTCACCCAGGGTCGTGCTGGATTCCCCATCGCGGGCAATTCTTCAATCAAGTTTGGCTGTTTTTCTAAAAGCTCTGCTCCGGCAATGGTTGGGGGCCGGTGTCTGGCCCGTGCTCTGATCGCAATGGGCCCTCCTGGCCGGGGGATGTGTGATTCAATACCATACCCTCCTCTCAGCTGGCCTCCCTTGGAAAGCCTGTGCAGCTGTGGAGTAACCCCAGAAATAGAGGGGTTCAGAGATGGGCAGTCACCCTCTGGGAGGCCAGCAGAGATGGCAGGGCTCAGGGCTGCACAGCCATGACAGATGCGCCCAGAAGAGTGAACGGGATAGAGAAGCTGAGTACATTGCTCCCTAGCACGGCCAGAACCGGGGACAGTCACTGACATGGAAAGGGAGCTAATTTCCAACTGACACAAGGCCATACTTGTTCACACAATGCCCAGCTAACCTGTGGAACTCACTGCCACAATGTGAGGCTCGGGGCTCAGCGGGGTTCAGCAGGGGACTGGACATGTCTATGAATAATGAGGAAGTCCCCAGCTACTGAGACATACACCTCCTGCTTCCCAGCCCAGGCAGACCCCGCTAGCATGCTCCCTGTAGTGGGGTGGTCAGCGGGAGAGCCGGGCTGCTGCTAGAGCACAACATCCGCACTGCTATTCTCAGCGCGCTTGCTTGAGTGGAGCTAGCGCCAGTCGGGGGGGGGTCGCTCGCAGCTGCAGCGTAGACAGCGTGTCCCCCCCACGGGACAGAGGGATGAGAGGGCCTCCGGTGAGATGACAGGGCTCCTTCCTCCCTGGGGACCAGTGCACGTGCCCCCTCCCTCCGTCCCATCCGGCAGCAAGCGGGTCTGTCCGTCCTGCTCTGGGCTGGCTCTCCAGGAGACACAGGAAATGCACTCCGCGACGCGACTTCTAGCCAGGTACTGTGCTGCTCCGGCCGTTACACGGCTCCCCTGTCCGAGGTCAGCATCCGGCGCTGCACAGCGGTAGCCTGGGAAGCTTCCTTTCCAAGCACAGGAATCAACCGGGGCGACAGGCCCCGGGGACCAGGTCTCCCAGCTGCTGGCTGTGTGCCGGCAAGGAACCCGGGACGCTGCGGGAAAGGAAAGCCCCGCCCGGGGCTCTAGCTGGGAGATGGGGTAGAGGAGAGCGTAACTGACCTTTGGGGACTAGCCCCAGCTGTGCCCGGCCCTGGGGCACAGCGAGGGGAGCTCTGCCGGTGCCTGGCCCTGCACACCCGCTGCAGGACGTGTGATGCGTCTGCATTTCTCGTCTGCTCTCACCTCAGGGTGGGCTTGGGGGTGCTGTGCACACTCTCGTTATCCTCCAGCTCGGGGCCGCTGTCGCTGTTGTTGCATTCCTCCAAGCTGTCGTAGAGCAGCCCCAGGTCCTCCTCCACTTCTCGGGTCTGACCCACCGGGTCGGAGTCCAGAACCTGCGACAGAGAAGCACAGGTAACAGCAAGGCTCCCTCCCCACCTCCCCAGCTGCGTGCTCTCCGGAGAGGAGCAGCCCCCCAGGCCTGTCAGCAGGGAGGGGAGGAGGAGCTGGCGCTCACCTAGTGTGGGGATCTCAGCTCTGATCTGTCCCAGCCTGGCCCAGGCACCTGGATTCTCTCCACTGACATGGGCAGGGCAAGGTCCAGGCTACGGCCTGTTCTGGGACACACCTCCAGGCCATCCCCCTACCAGGGCCTGCCGGTCCTCATGGAGCAGCAAGGACAGAGCCACCCGAGGGACGAAAGGGGCGGGGGCCCAAGCGCAGCTCCCTGCAGCTGTTCACAGTCACTGCCCAGGGCTGCAGCAGCAGGAACTTGGTCACGCTGCCATTTCCCAAACTTCACACAGCTGGGCCTGCCTCGGGGGAAACGAGGCCAGTCCCCGTGCGTCCTGCCACGGGCGGTTAGAGACTGGCCTGCCCTAATGTAGACCCCTCCCTGCACGCACTCCTCCATGCCTGCTCCATCATCACTGCTGGCTAATTTCCTGTCTCCAGGGATACAGCCCTGGGCTGTGCCCTGCACAAAGCTGTAACCCCTCTGTCCTGAAGACACCTGCCTTGGTCTTCCAGACGGACGTATCAAATGCAGCCCACAAAAGGGACAAGAGACTGCCCATCAACCCCCAGGGGGGCACTAAAACCAGCAGCCAAGCAAGACCGTACGTGCTCTGCCTCTCACGGGAAGGACTAGCTCTTCTGAAACGAACAAGTCCAAGGGCTGGAGGGCCCAAGCCTCTAACTCCAGCCCCGTTCAAGCGCCAAAGCCACCAGACTAACGCCCACAGCCCGCGCACACAGGACCGACCCAGCCCGCGGTGAGGAAGGCAAAAAGCCGGGCAGGGGCTGGCTTCAGTCAAAATGAGCTACAGAGTTCGTGGGTGAGTGATCACCTCCCCATAATATGCTCATCACGTACCCTGAAGAGACACAGCAGAGTCCTTCAGCCACCTAGGAATCCACAGCCTCCTCACGCTTGAGTCTCCAGGCCTTGAAGTCAAACCAAAACGAAGCCTGGAACCCACCTTCTCTGGCAGAGATCCAAATTCACTGGACACCAAGCGCTGGCAAGGAAACCCCAGGGCTTAGCAGACTCCTCCCAAACCAGCCACTCTCTGCTCCAGTCAAGAGACCACTCGGGAAGGACAAAGCCTTCTGAGACCCACCCCAATGCAGTAATTTCCAAACAAACTGTACCGACTGTATCCGGAATGGAGACACCAAGGTAATCGCCAAAACACCCGCTAGCAGAAGGGAGAATACCCTGCCCGTTGTCAGGCAACCAACCAGATCTGGCTTCACAAAGGGACAACAAGTCGCAGGAGTATCTGAGAAGTCCTCCACTGAGCCCTGCTGTCGCTCATGTCAGACCAGGCCGGCCAGCTCTGCACCCCATACAACCCTCTGGGAGCCATCAATTCCCGCACTCCCCCTCCTGCACTAAGGAGGGCAGCCTCGCAGCAGGCCGAGGCTTCCCAGGGACACTCAAGTTCTTTGAGAAGAAACGGAAAGTTACGTGGCAGAAAACACAACCGAACACCTTCTCCTCTACCAGCAAAACGCCCTCAACTGGTTCTACCTACCGCCGGCTCAACCCACAGAATCAAACGTCGGGAGCTAAACACGGTGACGACACATTGCCCTGTCCATTTCTGCCCCCTCTCCGCATGGCAACCCTCACTCTGACGCGTTCCGGGCTCGGACGCTGGCTACAAGCCCATGAGCAAAGGGTGATGAGGCCCCCCGGCAGGGAATGGGCTCTGGGGAGACGTCCAGCTGGGGCACCTTGGATTTGTCCACGCTGCTTTAGCCTTTTCACCTGCGCTCAGGAAGCGTGGGGTAAACAGCATGTGAACTAGGGAGCTGCGATGGCCGGGTGACGACAGAGAAATGACACAGAGACCGAGCGAGATTATTACTATGGGCAGCGATGACCAGAGCTGAGACTCTGCCGTGTCATGACCCGCAGGTCTCAACCACAGCAGCATTTATAGGAGCAGCCATGCTCCACCCCTCCACCTGGCAGCCTGCTGATGATTGGTTACCTGGGCCCCACGATGCTCAGCCCCAGTTTGAGACTCCGCCCCTACAGTCCTATTGGCAGAGTCCTGGAGCAGCTGATTGGCCCGCTGGCCCTACTTAAGCCAGCAGCAGGAACAAGAAGCAGACTGAACTGGGCTCTGCCCTGTTCTGGACTGCGTGTCTCTGGCTTGATTTCCTGGCAGCCCGACCCATGGCCCCCTGGCTCCCAAGGTGCTTGTCCTGCTGGCACCATGTGTCAGACAGGGACGGACCCACCCTTTCTCACCTCATCCATCACTTTAAATCTCTTCAGCAAAGCAACGAATTTCTGCTTGAAGTTCGGTTGCTGGAAGGAAAGGACAGAGGAAAACGCGTGAGGTTCCCAGGGAGCTGCTACCCCCCAGCTGCCCCTGGTTTCGCTGTGCCGTGTGCTGAACTCACGGCTCCACGGCCCCCCACCTGGGGAGAGGTGGGCCCCCTCCACAGCCTCCAAGCTAGCGGCTCTGTCAGTACCACCGGGCTTATGAGCTATTGTGATTAGCGAAGCAGAGAGCGCCGCGGCCCAACTCAAAGAGCTGCCCAGACAAAGACAGACGGGAGGGAAAAGGGACACAACACATAAACAAAGTGGCCAGGGACATCGGAACCTCTGCAAAGCAGCTATGCAGGCCATGTGCAGAGAGACGGCCCCCTGGCCCCTCTAAGGCCCTGACGAGGTTAGAGAGAGGAGCGCTGGCTGGAGCAAGGCCCCGGGCCCAGCAGTCTGCCCCGGTGTAATACCAGCGATACAGTCACACCACGGCAGGTCTCCCCAGTGCAGACCAGGCCACGAGGTGCTATGGGCTCTCTGCCATTTTTAGTGGGGCTTTTGGAATAAATGTGGAAAACTCTCCTGCAGCACAGCCCCCGGCCCCCTCCCCTCCTGAGCACACGGGCCCGCAGCAGCCCCTGCACCCCCAGCCTCCCCAAAGCCATCCCGAGGGCAGAGCTCGTAACTGGCTCGGGTTGGTCACCCCTTCTTAAGGGTCAAAGGTCCGGACGGCCTCTGACACTGACTAGGAGACGTGGGAGCAGAATCTGCCCGTGCTGAGCCTGGCTGGTACGTGTGTGCATTGGCAGGCTGACGGACAAGACGTGACCTTGAGGGCTCCGGAGGTGCGGGGAGAGGGAGAGCCAGATTTCCTTTGCTTTCGGTAGCAACAACAGTAATAACAATAGACTGGGAGACCTGGGTTCGAGTCTCCTCTCTGCCAGACGTCCTGTGTGCCCATGGGCCGGTCCTTTGCTCCCTGGGCCTCAGCTCCCACTTGTCCAGCGGGGAGAACAGCCCGGCCCTGCCACCCGGGGCACATTAGGGTAGGTGTGAGGGGCTCCAACAGTGCCGGGGGCCAGAGAAGCTCTGTGGACAGGCAGAGCAG